ACACCACCCTGAAAGAAACCCCCCAGATATGTCAGTGATGCTGGTAGTACAAATAAAGCCCAATTGAATGAAATAATATGTGACTTTGTTCCAGCTACATAAGGGTGTGATGGGGTCATTCACACTATGTCTGGTATCCAAGTATTTTCTGGTGAAATGTTTGGGAATATGTACCCCATGTGTGTGCTATGGGGAAAACAGTTCTCATTAATTCTTTCAGAAATTAAATCAAACTTATTTTATGATTTCTGATTTGAAGTCAAAGAAAGAATTTTCGGAAGAAAATAGGATTAAACCACACTCTACACACAGTTGTACCCGCACACAAAATACACATACACAAAAGCTCCCTTAGTCTCTGCTTCAAAGCAGCCCTCCTCCACGTGAGGGCTGACCACCACTGCCTGTAATGAAAGATCTAGCTGCTCCTGAGATGTTTCCAAGGATGTCACTGCAGGAGAGAGCAGTCTGTTAACGTCAGCACTACAGAGCAATGAGGCACCCACCGTTGGTTTTTCTCAGCTCCTCCACCAGGCAGCGGGCTTCCTCTTGAACACGGTCCTCGATGCTTCTCTTCCCCATCCCAAAATTACGCAGGGTCATGAGCGAAAAGCGCCGAGTCTCCTTCCATCTCTTTCCATTGCTGAAAATGATTCCTAACAGACAGGGAGCAGAAACTAGGAGGGAGATCCCAGGCAAGGAAGAGTGAACTGACACTTGGCAGCTACGTGGTTGGGCCAAGCTCTGCCTGAGGAGATGTTTGAGTCTCTGTTTTAAGTCCTCCCACCCCCATTACCAATACTGACACAGGCACGTGCACACTTACCATGTCCTTTATTAACTCTTTCAACCACTGGGAAACTACCTCTTCCAGAAAACTCCTCTCCCATATCAATCAGGGCTTCCTTCACTGCTTCATATCCATGCAACACCACCACAGGCTTCGTGCCAAAATACACAGTGAACACAGGGCCATAGACTTTTGAGAACTAGAAAAGGAGATGCAGATAATAGGAAAACAAGATGCTATTTGGTCCAAATATTGTACATGATTCAAACTGATATTATCATTGTAATTTTTCTATCTTTATTTGCCACATACAGCCTCCAATATTTGTCAAATTCATTCATTAATAGAAAGGTGACTGTTGTAGCTGCCACTTATGGACAGCCTATGATGTGCCACACAATGCCCAGACAATTGGTATACAGATTACAATTAATCTTCATACTGATACATTCAGCGGGATTATTTGCCCTGTTTTACAAACAGAGAAACTGAGGTCAAAGAAGTCCAAATTCATTTTAGGTATCACACATACAGAAGACTCAAATTTGAACCTCTGCTTAATCAACCTCTGATGCTTGAGCAATTTATCAGTCCCACACATTTTGTTGAGACCAATGCACAGCGGATGTCTTCAGAATCCTCTGTAAACCTCTTCCCATAGGGATCCTGACTCAGTATCCCTGTGATGAACACTTATAAAGTCACTCCAGGTGATTCTGATTCCCAGCCCACTCTGGGACCTGCTGGTATTACTAGCACAGAAAGAGTGAGCACCACACAGGCAATACCTGGACGTGCAGCATCTCCTGGAAGAACAATTTCTAACATCCTCCAGCATTTTTAGCCATGGGCAGCCGTTGTGTGCAGAACTGAAAAAAATCCTAATACCACCAATTCATTCACTTAAGCTGGTTCTGAGTCCAGAGCTATTTCCTTGACACCATGCATAAAACAGTTCTTCAGAGAATTTCGATTTTCATGGCTATACCAAATAAAGACGTGACCCATGTAATAGATGATTTTTTGAATGAAATCTCTAATCACAAACGTCCCTTACCATTTACCTTCAGAAAAAAGAAAAATCATAGCAAATGCCTATAAAACAAAGAAGGAAATCAGCACTCCCAAAGTTTGCCACTTTGGTATTTTGATTCCACAATACAAAGACCTCAATGCCTCTCTGCTCACAGAATGTATTATGCCATCTGCTATTTCTGACAATAACAGAAACATCAGTGTTTATACGGAGTAATATGCTTTATAGTGACATATTAAAATAGTGTACTTCCAAAAATATATTTTGCTCAAAACTATGAGTAAATGTACTTAGCCTTTGCAAGACACTGCAGAATCATGAAGTATACTTACATTGCTGAGGGATTTTTTGATATTCTTATCACCTAACTGGAGGATATTTCCAATAATTGGTAGAGGATTAGGGCCAGGTGGGAGATTCCTTCTCCCGAAGTTCTGTCTCCATAGTGAAAGCAGAAGCAAACAGGAAAGA